CGCTGACCACGCGGCAGGGCAGAAAAATGGCCGCGGACCACATGGAACGGGCAGAAAAATGGCCGCGGACCACATGGAACGGGCAGAAAAATGGCCGCAGACCACGTGGAACTGGCGGAAAATGGCCGCGGACCACGCAGCAGGGCGGAAAAACGGCCGCGGACCACATGGCACGGGTGGAAAAATGGCCGCGGACCACATGGAATGGGCGGAAAATGGCCGCGGATCCGTTTCGTAAGTTGAGGTGCGTTCGCAAGTAGAGGTAAAGTTTTGGGGCCGGAGCTGGTCGTATCTCGAAAAATTCGTAAGTAGGGGCGTTCGTAAGTAGAGGTACCACTGTAATAGAAAAGTTGAATATTCCTAATAAAACTGATGAAGATTAAACTCAGTTACCTACACATTGCCTGCATATTTGTAAGGCACTCCACCTAAGGCCATAAAGGCATTATAAACCAGGCAAGTCAAGATAGTTCATGGTGCTTATTGTTATATTTTTTTTAAATTCAACTTCCCTGTGAAACTATCTTGAAAAAATCAGTTACTGATACTTTCTATTTGAAGAACCATCTATCTACCTCACATTTTATACATATAGCTCCAGAACATTACTATTACATATAATTCCATATTATGGTCCTACCTGCTGAAGCGCTTTTTCTGCTTGACGATCCGCATCAATAACTTGTTTTTCAAGTTGCTGCATCTATATAAAAGCATAAAAATTATCAGATGCAATCTTTTGTGACAGCTATCAATGAAAACATTAATAATCATGAATATATATTATATGAGGGTGAGGAGAGAAGGTATCCAAGAGGTTAAAACACACTGCCTCAATAATCCTTAAAACAATCATACAAAGTGTAATAACTGCCCATTTTATAGGCAGAGGTGGATGAAAGTAAGACTCAAGGACCACACTAGATCACCCACCTAAATTGACCTAATTTTCTCTGCCAGTGGGAGGCTCTTGTTAGGGGACAAGTTTAATTTTTAGTAAAGTCCCCCTCTCTGTTTCATTTATGGAAGCTTTCCAGTGGAAGAGACAATTAGTTGGATTCCTTTCAAAAAGTGTATGGCTGAAAGCCAAGCAACGTATGACACTAAAATGTCTGTTTAATTTAATAGTAGGTGAGGAGAGGGACAAACCCCAGTAGGATTACACTGTGTAAACTTTTTCTTCCTGGTCACAGCTCTGCTAAATATCATTCCCTTTGTGCTCCTCGTAGCTTTAGGAAAAAACTGCTGCTGACACTGGAGGTTCTTAATTGCATTTGTACAAAGAGATCATCTTCAAAGACATTGGCACTTACTGCACCTATTATTTACATCCTGAAATGCTTCCATATCTTGGTCCTTAGCTCAGATTTTAATCAAATATACTGCCCTAGTACCCAACAAATATCTTTGTCTGGAAGTCCCATGAGGTCAGTAGGACTTATTTCCAATATACACAGAGCATGCATAGGTCTGCTGACATACACAGAGTTGTGCTGTTAGATCTTCAACTAACAATCACTTGAAATGCAAACGGCACAGGATTCTGGGTACAGTTCAAAATCTTGGTGCTGACCTGTAAAGTTCTACATGGCTTGGCTCCTGGTTACCTAAGGGACTATCTCCTTTGAACAGAACTGGAACCTATAAGGTGAGAGGGGATGCTTTACATCCATTCCCTCCCTCTGAGAGAGAAGAGGCTCAGGAGCCAAAGAAAGCCTTTTCAATTGTTGCCCCATCACTTTGGAACAGCTTACCTGTCCCAAGACCTGGATGGCCCTCACAATGTCCTATCTTCAGAAAGGTGGCAAAGACAGTTTTATTTTGATAGGCATGCAGAGTTTAGTGCCTTAGAGTTAGTCTTTTTATCATTATATGATGCCATTTTTAGAAGTTGGGTTTTTTTTAATTATGGGATTTCACATTGATTACTGTTTGATTAAGTGTAAACTTCCCAGAATCTGATGATTATGGTACCACAAAAATATTGTAAAAATAAATAAATTTAAGAAACTGTATTCTAAATCTTAAAGGAAAACATTTCAAGTTCATCCAGAAGCATCCAGACACTGGACTCTCCAAATATTTGCTATAGTTTAGCATTTATTTGGAGAGACTGCTGGCCTTCCGCAAGGCCTTAAAGACATGGTTGTGTCATGAAGTTTGGGGATCTGAATGTCTGGCATTGCCCATGAAATGGCTGTGCTGATTTGTTAGTCATTTGCTTGGTTTTTACCTCAGCTGCTTATATATGTAGTTGTAGAGGATAAGGAAGATGACCTTGACAGAGCTATGCAGGCTCTGTTGCTTAGGTAAAAGGGGCTGAAGCATTTTTTAAGTCCACAGGGTAACATTTGGAAGTGATTCAGAGGGTTCCAAAGGAAAGTTCCAAAGGCACAATCAGATTTGTAAGATTGTGTTATTATAGCCAATCTCAATTAAGCAGTTTTAGCCTTCCTGTAGAGTTGATTTCTTAGTCTGGTTTACCAGGGGGGCTGACAGAATTATTCTTATTGTTGTATGTTATTATATGGTATTTTTAAGTGCTGTTAGCTACCCAGAGTCATGAATTTGAGATGGACAGCCATATAAATGGAAATAAATAAATAAAATTTCAGAGTATCTGAAGATTGTGTGTTCCTCCTCCTTACAATAGAATGTCCACAAACACTCAGCATGATTCAGCTCTTTATCTGATCATTCCTAACCAAGGTTCAAATATAATCCCAAATTTCATTATAGAAAAAAAAAAAACCTCCAATGCATGTCTCTCTCTAAGTGAGAATGAGTCATGCAATTAAACTGCACATTTAAAGTTTAAGGTGGAGAAAAGAAAAATGTCCACAGGAGGATCTAGCTAAAACACTGAAGGAGGTACACAGTCAGATAATAATCCACAAATAGTTAATAAAAGAAACCCAGGATTAAAGCGTGATTGTGTCAAGTAAATATGTTAAGTAGTTTTGCATGAGCTCAAAGTATGCTTTGCTTAAGTCAGCTTTCTGGCAGCCTGTACAGAATGATTCGTGTAGACTGGAAATATACTTGAATATACTCAGATCTGTGTAAATCTACTTCTGTAAAAATAATAAAACATATAAAGTGCTCAAATTATGCCCTCTCCAAAACACTCTGACAAATGTTTTATTATGGATGTCTGCCTTGTCATAGGAACTGACTAAAAGTTCTGAACAGGCAGGCCTAAAAATTGTTAAGGGTTCTGAGAAGGAGAGTTGGAAAAATTCTGCAGATTCTGTTAAGTAGCTTAATGCCAGCAGATGGATAAAAGTATTTCAAGCTCAAATCCACTCTAAGGTGTGCTTTATACCTCCGCAACTAATGGATAAAATAAAAATCATGTGCTGGGTATTATTCTTTAAGTCATGTAATTAACTTCTTAAGCAGAGCTATAAACAGTGTCAAGATTTCCAGTTCTGGCCTACCCTACCTGACAAATATCGTTTCTCTATATTTGTGGTCTATGGCTTTAGCCTTTCTTGGAAACAATAAAAATACACTGGTAGGCTGCTAAATAATAACTGTGTTTAAGGAGCAGAGAGGGGTATCAAATGTGTCTCCCTAAAGGGAAATTGTTAGTATGTGCTTTTAATTAGAAATACCTGAATTTGAATGTGAATTCCAATGTGGAAAGCTGCATATTTTTAATTCTTTCTTGACCATCTTTTTCTCCTCAACCTCCTGTGTAATTACTGCAGATGTTATGATTTAGGGCCCTTTTTATTGCTGTTTCTAATTACTTCCCAATTAAATTTTTATCTTTATTCTTCTCTTGATTTATATTCTTGCTCTGTCTTTCTCTTTCACCAAACCACCCACACAATCATCTTCCATTTTAAACAAGATAAACTCTTATTCCTATCATTCTCCATTACTTGTTCTCTTATGTCTGTAAATGTTTTTCTCAACTGGAGAGAACACACACATTTACAATCTAAAACCACTTCAAAACAGACAAGAAAAAAATTAGATTGTGATCAGCTAACAGTCAAATGGCCAATTCACAAAGGTGGCAGACTGCATGTGGCACACAAAATTCTACAACATTATATGTAATGAAGTAATTTTTGTCTGACAGCAGTACAGAAACCTAAAATTGCTCTGATTGATCTGAAAACGCAACAGGAAAGGTATGATGCATTTGAACTATATCTCTAGAAGAGGTATATTAGAGGAAAACATGGGCAGCAATTTCTGTTCCCTAATCAACAATGGTAGATACATTTCTTATATAAGGTATTTTGAAATCTGCCCTGTAGGACTGTTGAAGGAAGCACATTAAATCTTATTTTTGTAAATGCTCTGCTGTGTTTGGGAAATAGAAGAGATGAAAGATAGCTGCCAAGTGTTCCTTGGAGGCTTGTAAACTGTTCTCTAGCTTCCTGAAGATGGGCTATGTGCTCCATTTGCTGCCTTAGTGCCACTGTGGCTTGCTTAAAATCAGGAGTTGGGTAGCACCTTTTGAAAACATTTTTTTAAAGTGATAAGTTTCATCAGATGCATGGAGTGGCTTGCTTATAACCCAAGGAAAATAAATATTTCATCTGGGAAGAGACCAAGAAAGCAAACTTTAGAGGTATGGCCTCCTTCCATCTAGCTTGAAAACTACTGAAGAGTATGTGCGTGACCAAACTTGCTGGAAAGAATTTATTCTTCAACAAGCAGCTGGCAAAGATTTTTGATTAAGCTTTTCTTCTGTCTGAAAACCTATTCAATATATACTTGTTGTCAGACTGAGAGCCAGTGTAGTATAGTGTTTAAGGTTTATAACAAGTTTTATAGAAGTATAGGCACTCTTCACTTACTGACCTCAACTGGGACTGACAACTCCATCGCTAAGTGATGGGGTCATAAAGTGAAATGTCACATGACTGCGTCCGACTTAAAATGTCAGTTTGTCAGTTTTGGCTGTGGTCGTTAAGTGAATCATCCATGGCCATTAAGTGCGATGTCATGTGACCACAACTTGCAACTTTGTGCCAGCTTCCCCTTTGACTCTGCTTGTCGGAAGCTGGCTGTGATTGCAAATGGCGATCATGTGACTGTGGGACACTGCGAATGTCAGCTGCCAAGTGGCTGAATCACAATCACACGACTGTGAGGAAGCTGCAATGGCTGCAACTTCAAGAAGCGGTCGTAAATCTCCTTTTTCAGTGCCGTTGTAACTTCAAACAGTTGCTGAACGAGCGGTCAGTAGCTGAGGACTACCTGTAGAGTTTAAGGTTCTGGATTAGGAGTAGGGAGACCTAGGACCTAGGCAGCTAGGTGACCTTGGGCAAGTAACCCGCTCTCAGCTGAAAAACAGCATTGGGCTCTACAATAAGCTAGCTAAAGAACAAACTCTCTGTTGCATTGTGAACTGATGGTTTCACTGTGTGAATTAGGCTAGTGTAATACAAACAAATGGAACAAACACCAAGAAATAGACCGTGTGTCAAAGCAAAATTTTCCAGTTTATTATGCTCTACGTGCACTAGAAATAAGCTTTGTTGAGACATAATTACTTCCGTTATACTACCTGGAATAGTTCCTAAGACTATAGGCATAATATTCAAGCTATTCATATGGTACAAAGGTAGAAAATTCCCGGGCAGATGGAAGGAGTAATTTTCTTGATATTTAAAAGCCTGAAATTTAGAGATTAGTTGAATCATCCCTTTATCTCCCCCTTCCATTCTTGACATGCCA